CTGAGGTTCAGGGCTCATATGATTTATAGAGGCTCAAAGTTCAGTTTCCAGTTGTAAATACATTTCATTCTACTGTCAGTTTAAAGAAATAATACAACTGTTATATGTGTGAAAACACAGTTACAGCTGTCTGTAATTCACATAATACGTTTCTGTGTTTCCTACAGATTTTCAACAGGTGGTTCTGGTTAAAGAAGAAGCTTCAGAAGAACAGAGTGCTCGTGTCAACCACCAGCACCTAGATTTTCTCCACAAAAAGGAGGAACAGGAGAAACTCTGGTCTAGTATGGAGGGAGAGCATCTCCATTTGAATAAGGAGACTGATGCTGCCAGGTTTCAATCCTTTAGCCAAAAAACACATTTAAACAAACACACAAGAGTCCAGACAAAGCAGAAACATTTTGCCTGTGAGCACTGTGGACAAAGGTTTCACCAAAAGACTAATTTAAACACACACATGAGAGTCCACACTGGAGAGAAGCCCTTTCCTTGTGAGCTCTGTGGAACGAGATTTAGCCGAAAGACACATTTAAACACACACATGAGAGTCCACACTGGTGAGAAGCCCTTTCCTTGTGAGCTCTGTGGACAAAGATTTAGCTTAAAGTCAACTTTAAACAGTCACATGAGAGTCCACACAGGAGAGAAGCCTTTTGCTTGTGAGCTCTGTGGACAACAATTTAGCCAAAAGACAAACTTAACCACACACATGAGAGTCCACACAGGACAGAAGCCTTTCGCCTGTGAGCTCTGTGGAACGAGATTTAGCCTAAAGACAAATTTAAACATCCACATGAGAGTCCACACTGGAGAGAAGCCTTTCGCCTGTGAGCTCTGTGGTAATAGATTTAGTGAAAAGGGAGGTTTAAACAAACACATGAGAGTCCACACTGGAGAGAAGCCCTTTCCTTGTGAGCTTTGTGGTAATAGATTTAGCCATCAGACAACTTTAAACATTCACATGAGAGTCCACACAGGACAGAAGCCTTTCGCCTGTGAGCTCTGTGTAAAAAGATTTAGCCAAAAGAAAAATTTAAACAGTCACATGAGAGTCCACACTGGCTTTTCGCCTGTGAGTTTGGTGGAAAAGATTTACCCAAAAGATCAGTTTAAACGGTCACAAAAGAGTCCATAAAGGACAGAAGCCTTTTGCTTGTGAGCTCTGTGGACGAAGATTTAGCTGAAAGAAAACTTTAAACAATCATCTAAGCATCCACTAGGGCTGAACGATCTATTGCAGGGGTCTCCAACATTTTTTTGGCCCGTGAGCTACTTTTACACAATGAAGTACAGCAGAGTTACTGTCATATGATTTATTTACATTGATACTTTCCATGTGTGAATATGCTTATGTTAAACATGCTATACTTACTATATTAACATGCATTGTACTCACAAGTTGATTTCTCTGTATTTCAGTACATCAGTATATATATTTTAAAAGTAGAAGTAAACTAGTGACATTCTGAAAACCAAATTAAACAAAACATATTTAGTTTTTTAAACTAATCGGATACTTTCAGATAATGAATAACAAATCTACTTCATGTGAATGATTTGGTAATTTTTTTAGAAGGTTAGTAACATAACTTTTTAAGCGCACAGGAACAGCTAACCTGTAAAGCTGATGATATGTTAAATAAAATACAAGCTAAATGTGATGAAAACACAAAAGTCTAAATAGTTTGAATTGAAGTAAAAAATGTAAAATCAGAAATAAGATTTGTTCCTGCTCTCCTGATGTACTGAATAATTTTTATGGGTTTTTTTGGTCATGAAAGTTAAGTTTTGCTGCGTTTATTGCTGACAATATGAAGGTTGGAGGTTTATCCTTTTTTTCTGCATCTTGTAGGTTTTTTTCTCAGCACGTCTCTAAATAAAGTAAAATTTTCTAGTGCAGAGGAGACAACTCATAGAAGCACTGATTTGATCTCATTTCAGAGAAAAATAGAACAGGTTAGATGCACCTAATAAATAAAGTTATAACAAACTCAGGAATCTGTTTCTTTGCTTCACTGTTCTGGTGCTGAGAACATCACTAATGCGGATCAAAGGAGATACACAGATGAATGCACCTCTTATTTATTATTTGGAGACTACATTTACTGCAGCTGGCAGAGGCAGAGATTTTTTCTATTGATACACGGAATTTACAGAATCATTTTAAATGTTAATAGGGGAAGACTGCAGGAGGGAGCGGTAAAATACAGGGGGTCCCCAGCAAAAACAAACTTCACGAGCCTGATGAACCCCGCTGGTTTTCCATCAGGCAGTCACGGGGCAGCTCCAACGACCCAGTGGCTGTGCTGGGTCAATGTTAATCGAGCTCAGTCGAGGCGACGTCGTGCTCTGCTTGAAAAGGTGTTATTTTCCCGCATCAGAAGAAGCGTTCAACGTGTTTTTACGCTTTCTCCGAGACATGTCACGTCACTAAGTTGTTAGCACCGCGCGCTAACACGTCAATAGTGCAGCGTAGCCTGCTGGAGGTTTTAAGGGTTCAGATGAAAACACCCGACCTCTCAGGCTGCTCACACATCGATCTTAAGTTGTCGCTGTTGCGCTCACATCGTAATACAGTATTAGATGCGGTTAAAGTCAGACATGAAAAAATAAAATAAATTTTACATGAATAAGTGATGCTTATCCTGGTGGGGAGAGGAAACCCTGTCAAGATCGTCAACGCTCATTTATCTTAATGCTATTGAAACATGTAAACCAAAAAGCATTATATCCACTGCTACCTTTATGCTGTAACTTCACCCTGCCCTGCCTGCTCCTCCTTGCTGCCTGCCGGCTGTGATCAGAAGTGACAACATAGTAGTTCCCGCTGCTTCCTTGGAAAACGGCTAAAAAAAAAATCAAAACTTGGGATCTTGTAGGCGTGGCGGTGGGATTTCAGCCGTGGCGGCCCGCCACGGCTACGCCTATGTAAGAGAAACCCTGGTGTAGTTACTGTGTAAAGCAGTATATACTAGGAATGATTAATAAAGATAAAAACTAGAATTGAACCTGAGTTACATAGTAATAACAATTTAAGAACTGAGAAACAATAATACACTAACTTACTAAGTAATTACCATGTAAGTACTAAGTAATTAGAAGACTGTAAAAGAAAGCACTACCAATAATTGTACTTAATATGCTTTTATTTTTGTGTGCTATGTTCTGTGTTAATATTCTTTGATTTTATTTTACACAACATGATGTGACATTTTAACTATTTCATTTCACTTGTGATTGTTATAACTATGTGAAGCACATTGGGCTACCGTTTTGTGTATGAAATGGGCTATATAATAAACTTGACTTGAGAGAGAGTTCACAATCATGTTTTGTTACTAAATGAGACACTCAGCTGAAACTGGGGGAAATATATGATGAATCTAAATCACAGGAGATGTCCAGAGTTTTTAAAGCTCGTGTTCATCATGTTGTGGGGACCACAATGAGGCTACACTCACACCCAGTTCTTGGTACCACAGACGTATATATTGACTTGGGACTGTTTGTATGTAAATATTGTTGACTGCTTGGCCGCTTGATCAGAACCAGAAACGTATGTGTAACAGACCATCTGGGTGTTCAAGGGGCCGTATGTGGAGGGCCACACAGAGGCTACGCTCACACCCAGTTCTTTGGACTGTTTGTATGTAGATGTAGCAGGACTGGTTGGTGTCTCAACCAGTTGATCGGCCAGCCTATCACACATATTAATCAAACCAGCCCACCATTAAAACATATTACAGATGATAACAACTCTACTGCTTGTACTATAAGATTAATGCACACAATTTAATTTAAGACATTTAACTGCATGTGTGCGCGTGTGTGTTTGCACTGAATGTGTTTGTGCACATGGTTCACACGTGTGTTGGGTTAATCTACATACTAGAACTAACGCTGTTGCTATCAGCTTTGTTAGATTCTGAGAAAGACAAACAAGTTAACATATGAAGCTTCTATCATATATAAACATCTAGGATATTAATATAATCGATAGAAGTTCATACACCAACGAGCTTGGTTTATATTTAATCTATGGATTAATATTTAATTTAAGATATTTAAATTAATAGCAGAAGTTTATTTATTAAACAGAAGACTTAATAAGGTTCTTTGCTGATTCAATAACTGAAAATGCACACCATTCTGTGTTTCATTCAAAGAAGAGTCAGGTTTAAAAATTTAAGAATTTATTACTAACAATTTCAAATCTGACAATTTAAAATAGACAATTTATGAATAACAATTTATAAATGATGAATTTGAACAACAATTTTGATATTAAAACTTGTTATTAAAGCAACCCCTGTGTCTGGATGGAAAACTAAGTGGAATGATGAGGTTTGGATGCGTGAATGAAATCTCAGACGCTTTCTTTCAGAGGGAGAACGCGTTCTGGGTGAAACGTTGGTTTTGCAGCTAACTGATGGTTTCTTAGAGAGAACAACATCGGACGCAATCTGTGTTCTACCTCACCGTTCAGACGACCCTCTGTGTGGATCTGGAGGTCTGGAGGATGTTGTCAGCCTCAGGGGTACTCAGGTCCGGCAGATGACCAAGGGTACCGACTTTCTCTGGTCCTAGAGTTGCCGTGAGGTGCACAGGTAGATGTGGCTTTGCATCCGGGCAGATTCTTAAGGAATCTCGTAGTGTCAGCTGGTTATAGGTGCGTTTATTCAGAGCTATTCTATCGGCGTGACAGAACGCTTAGTGAGGAGTCAGGCGGCCGACCTTCTCCTCTGGGATACTCTCGTTGTCACGAAGAAGTATCAGCTTGGTTCAAGAACTGAACTTAAGCTGTGGAGCTTTGGTTTTAACAAAACCTCAGAACACGCCCTCTCAGAGACAGGAAGCATGACTATGGAAGACATGTGAGGCAGTTACCTTGAAGTGAGTCCTGCATGAGGTGTAAACACGTGCAAAAGACCTTCTGGTTACTGAACACACATTACTGATTATCATTGTTAAAAGTCCGCTTTCCAGAGGAATAATGTTTGTGAACACCGTTTAGACTACATTACCCATGATGCACCTCGGTATCTGTACTTCCCGTTGGGAACGTGTTTAGCGCAGTTCAGCACAGCTGAAAGGTGTTGGATGATCAGCGTTTTTCTCGTGCGTTCCTGTGTGAGTTACCCTTGGTGTGCGTGTTTATCATGTGAGTATTGTAAGATGAGATTGATGCTTATTTGACTTTATCTGTGAGTTGCTCTGTGTACATCACTAAGAAGCTAGTCCTGTTGCTAAGTTGCAGGTTTTGTTGGCCTACTTCAGGCAGCCTTGGTTGCAGCTTATATGGCATTCCATATACGACTCACTATCAAGTATGGTGGTTGGAGGTGGATAGAACTATTTTCTGTGTTTATTATCTGACCTGTAGAGATACTGTTTGCTAATGCATATACGAACAAGAAATTCATGTATGGTCTTAGGGTGGCATCTAGTGGCCATGAGGTTTATAGCAGATCATATAACTTCATGTTGGAAACCCACAGTGCTGTATAAGCGGTACACTGCTATTCATACTAATGGTTGTTCTTTCTGTTAACAGATTACCACACCCACATACTCCTGCACACTCACACTCCCTTTACCTGCATTCATAGATGGGAATGCAATTGCCTCACTTGTTGATGTCATCTGCTACCTCTTTAATAAAACTACTTGGACTACATCACTGTGGAGTGCCAATCCTTCTGACCGAGGACAACTCAGTTGAAGCGTGATCGGCAATCAGTGCAAACATTCAGTACAAGTGGTCCTTCGAGCCGGATTTGCCTTGGCTGAGTTCATGAGATGGAAAACCCTCAGGATGGAGGTGCATCGAGTAGCCCCCGTCCAAAACGGGAGAGGAAACTCCCGGGATATCTGGTGGACTATGAGCACAACCTAACTGAGCCACCCAACCCATCTAGAGCTCCAAGTAGTTCCAGTAGCTCTGACAATGAAGAGGAAGGGAGATGGCAGAGGATGGAATCCGCATGGAACAGTGTCCTCCAAACCATGAATCACCTTCAAGCGTCTATGGAGGACACTCATGGAACATTACTGAAGCGGGTGGAGCGTTTGGAGCAAGCTTCACAACCTAGCAGTGAGGTGATACATCGCACCATAGAGCCACTACCTGTACCAGAGCAGGACACCACAACACCTGCGAACATGCTGACGCCAGTGAAGGCATCTGCTCCATCACCTCCTCGTAAAGTGAGTTTTCACACTCAGCCAGTGCTGCACCCTGCCACTTATGTAGCTGCATCAACGCCACTCAGGAGACTTGGCCGATGCACCGCTACACCCTTCGTGTACCAGAGATCGGAACATCATCTCCTTATAGACCGGCCAGGCCAGGTGCAGATATCACATCACACAGCCTCAGCTAATCAGCCAAGACAACGTGATTATCATGCAGTACAGCAGCTATCACAGGCTGGGGATCCAGTGAGTCTGCAGCAGACGTTACATCCAGCTGCTCCCGTCTTCCAAGCTAGACCTCCAGCTAATCCTGTGTACTTGCAGCAACCACCGCGTCCTGCTGATCCGACCTACCAACTTCCACGTCCACCAGAACCTGTGACCCAGCCATCACAGTGGGCAGACGCTCAGCACCCTGTATCCAACATATTGCATCCTGAAGCTTTGCCTGATCCAGCTGGCAACCACCACGTTCCCGACCCGTCAGGAAGTGACCATTCATCATCTTCCTCTGCTGGACAATATAATCCACGGGTTGCCACATCTGAATCAGCCAGAGCGCCTCTACCAAACCTGATGGAAATGATGGTGGCATCTTCATATGGTATTCCAAAGCCTAGGCTGGTGGTCTTCAGGACGGGCAGAGAGAGTGACTTCGCCTTATTAAAGAAAGGGCTGGACAGCACCTTAGGGCCACATTCTCATCTGGGAGAAGATTACAAGTTTCAGGTCCTATTAGATCATCTAGAATATCCCAGCGCCCTACAGGTAGCCAAGCGCTACATCCACGACCGCACTCCCTATACTAGTGCAATGAGGGCGCTAGAGCAGAGGTATGGACAGCCAAGGCAGTTAGTCCAAAGTGAGCTTAGCACTATATTGAACTGCCCCCCTATTAGAACAGGAGACTCTCAAGCTATTGAGGACCTGTCCCTGTCCGTGTCCAGCCTGGTCGGGCTTCTCAGTACCATGGATGAAGTAGCAGCCAGTGAGCTTCATTGTGGTTCACATGTGGACAGACTGCTTACCAAACTCCCCCTGAACTACAGAGACAGCTTCATCGAGTACTGTATTACCCGGGGGATCATCCGCACTGGCAGCAGCCGAACATACAATATGTACGACTTCTCAGAATGGCTTGAACGGAAATCCCAAGTCCTTCAGCTATCCAGACAAGCCTCTCACATGCCCTCTGACAGGCCACGCCCAGAGAAGAACCTACTCAAAGCCTTAGCAGGGCCCAAGTCACACAGCAAATCTGCTTCCATCTACTACGGCCCAAATCCAGCCCAAGCCAAGCTAAGACCAGGGGGAGGATCTACAGCTCCCAATCCGACAGTCCAACCTAAGAAGAGACAGAAGTTCAAACCTTATTGTCCATACTGTGAAGGGACAGAGCATTATCTGAATGGCTGTGATGGATTTAAAGGGCTAGACCTCAAAGCTATGGCTACCTGGATTACTGAGAAGGCCAAATGCTGGCGCTGTGGCCGTAAACATTCTCCAGAGCAGTGTACTCTAAAGAAGCCGTGCAGCACCTGTGGTGACCAGCATTTGTCTGTGCTCCATGACCTGGTTGAGGCCAAGAAGCGGGACCCTAACATACTAACTGTGAGTACTAGTATGGTTTACCTAGACTATTCAAGTCACTCAGGTCGAGTCATGCTTAAAGTAGTACCAATTCAACTACATCATGGTGGCAAATCTCTGGACACATTTGCTGTGCTTGATGACGGCTCAGAAAAGACTGTTGTGCTTCCTGCGGCAGTTGAATCTCTAGGTTTGGAGCAGGAGGAAGCAACACTCGCACTGCGAACTATCCGTCGAGATGTAATCCAGATGAAGGGAGGCTTTGTCTCATTTCAGGTGTCACCGAGAGCTAAGCCCAAAGTGAGGTACAAAGTAACACATGCATTCACAGCCGACCAGCTGAGTCTAGCTACTCAGTCATGTCCAGCTGAACAGCTGAAGAAGAAGTATATTCACTTGCAGAAAGTCCAGATCAAAGGATTTAACCAGGTCCAACCTTTGGTGCTACTTGGCTCAGATAATGCTCATCTCATCACCCCTGTCCGTCCTGTCCTTAGGGGGTCATCTAAAGGGCCAGTAGCTGTCTGCACCAAGCTCGGATGGGCCATCCAGGGGCCAGCCAGTAGTATGCCTACATCTGAGGGGGAGCTGCAGTGCCTGAACATGTGTCTTTCTCCTGCAGAGGCCCTGCATCAAGATGTGAAGCGTTTGTGGCAACTAGATGTTCCCCCCTATAGGACAGAGAAGGAGGTCACACGGTCAAAGGAGGACAGAGAGGCAGTGGCTATGTTGGAAACAAAGACCCTCAGAGTCCCAGTAGATGGTGTCGAGAGATATGCCACTCCTCTGCTGAGAAGAAGAGACTTTCCACGTCTGTGTGTCTCCCCTGAAGCAGTAAAGGGCCTCCTCAGATCTACTGAACGTAAGCTGGCCAAGAACCCTGATCTGACCCATACATACAACCAGGAGATCCACAGGTTAGTAGAGTCTGGCTATGTTGCTAAGCTGAGCCCAGATGAGACACATAGCTCTTCTGAGTCATGGTATGTACCGCACCACATAGTACATCACAACAATAAGGCTAGAGTGGTCTTCAACTGTTCGTTTGAGTTTCAGGGGTCCGTCCTGAACCGCTGCCTCTTACCAGGACCTCCCATGGGACCCACTCTGCTGGGGGTATTACTCCGCTTCCGTCAACATCCTGTAGCCGTGAGTGGAGATATCAAAGCCATGTTTCATCAGGTTCGGCTGCTCCCAGAGGATTGTCCCCTGCTACGGTTTCTGTGGAGGGATTGTGAAACGGATCGGCCCCCAGACATATATGAGTGGAGAGTTTTGCCCTTCGGAACGACATGTAGCCCCTGCTGTGCTACGTTCGCCCTACAGAGACATGCAAGGGAGCACAAAGAAACCCACAAAGACATCTGTGACTCAGTCCACACAGCCTTCTACGTGGATAATTGTTTACAGTCCCTGTTCAACCCAGAAGAGGCAAAACAGCTCATCGACCGGATGAGAGATTTACTCATTCAGGGAGGATTTGATATACGACAGTGGGCGAGCAACGTGCCCGAAGTAGTTGCTCATCTGCCCGCTTCAGCTCGATCAGAGAGCTGTGAACTTTGGCTGAACTTCAAAGGTCTCGACTCACAAGAGTCAACGTTAGGACTCAGCTGGCACTGTCCGACAGATGTCCTGGGATATAAGCACCGCCCTATCACCTACTCCACGGTCACGCTGCGCAATGTGTACAAGGTACTAGCTACCCAGTATGACCCACTAGGGTATATTTGTCCCTACACTACAAGGGCCAAGCTGATTGTACAGGCCCTGTGGAGCACAGAAAGAGGGTGGGATGAGCCCATCGAAGGGAATCTACTTCAGTCCTGGCTTGAGTGGGAAGGCGAACTGTCACACCTTCAGCATGTCATCATTCCCCGCTGCTACGCTCCTCCTCATAACTCCAGCAATGTGACATATGAAGCTCACGTATTCTGTGACGCATCGGAAAAGGCTTATGGGGCTGTGGCTTATCTCAGGGTAATTGAGCGGCAACGGCCCATCATCACATCATTCCTGATGGCTCGCTCCAGAGTGGCCCCACGCAAGCAGGTGTCAATGCCCCGGTTGGAGCTTTGCGCAGCACTCACAGGAGCCCAATTGGCCAGATTACTCCAGACAGAGCTTACTGTTCCCATACAGTCGATTTACCTGTGGACAGACTCTACCACGGTGCTGCAGTGGATCCAATCTAGCTCCTGTCGCTATAAGGTATTTGTGGGGACTCGAATCTGTGAAATACAGGAGCTGACATCTCCTGAACAGTGGCGATATGTGACCTCTGAGCTCAATCCTGCTGATGACATCACCAGAGGGAAACATCTCGCTGACCTAACAGCCCCCAATCGTTGGTCACATGGTCCACCTTTCCTATTACAAGCCGCTGACACTTGGCCTAAGCTGCCAACAGTGTTTCCAGCCTGCAATGAAGCAGAGCTCAGGAGGACTGCATTCTGTGGGCACGCTTCTGTATCCCCAACCTTGCCGGATCCAATGCAGTATGCCTCACTAGATAAGCTGATTGCTGCTACGTACCGGACCCTACACGGGGCGGCCGACACTCCTATTACAGCCGCGGAGCAACTGGAAACCAAGACCATGCTGCTCCGCTCAGCTCAGACCGACAGCTTCACAGAGGAGACCAAAGCCCTCCAGACCAGTCGCCCAGTCCGCTCAGACAGCCGTCTTAGCACGCTGTCCCCTGAATATGACAGTCTTACTGGTCTTATCAGAGTCGGAGGCCGCCTTCGTCAAGCCGCAGACTTAGATCCAGACAGTATTCATCCCATCGTACTAGCAGCTGAACATCCCCTGACCAAGCTCATCATAAGGACTTATGATGACCAGCTCCTTCACCCAGGTGCAGAGAGGCTATTTGCGGAGATAAGGCGCACCTATTGGATTCTCAGAGGACGTCAAGCCATTAAGAAACACCAGCACCAGTGTGTGGACTGTAGGAGATGGCGCGCCACACCTTCTACACCCAAGATGGCTGATTTACCTTCCTCACGGATGAGACTCTATAAACCCCCATTCTGGTCAACGGGCGTAGACTGTTTCGGGCCATACACGATAAAGATAGGTCGTAGAAGAGAGAAACGCTGGGGAATTATCTACAAGTGTCTTACAACTAGATGTGTGCATCTCGATCTCCTCCCTAGTCTTGACACCGATTCCTTCCTTATGTCATTACGCAGATTTATCGCACGCAGAGGAAAGCCATACGAGATGTGGTCTGATCAAGGAACCAATTTCAGAGGTGGTCATAGAGAACTCCAAGCAGCATTTGAAAACATGGAGCCTGACCTCAAGCAGCAACTAGCCACGCAGGCTATCAACTTCTGCTTCAATCCCCCACACTCGCCTCATTTCGGAGGAGCCTGGGAAAGGGAAATCAGAGCAGTGAAGTCAGCTCTGCAAGTAGTCCTGAAGGACCAAGTTGTGGCAGAAGAAGTCCTACTCACAGCTCTCATAGAGGTTGAGGGCATTTTGAACTCAAAACCGCTTGGCTATGCATCGGCTGACATAGCCGACCCAGATCCCATCACACCAAATCTTCTCTTGATGGGGCGGCGTGATTCAGCACTACCCCAGGCAGTCTACGGCCCCTCAGGCACTCTTTCGACCAGAAGATGGATACACAGCCAGGTCATCAGTGACCACTTCTGGAAGCGGTTCATACAGAACTACCTCCCAGGACTGCAACTCCGACAGAAATGGAGGAAGTCCACTGACAACATGACCGTGGGACAAGCTGTTATGATTGTAGACTCTAATCTGCCTAGAGGCCTCTGGCCTGTGGGTACCATTTCCCAAGTTTTCCCAGGGACTGATGGTGTTGTTCGGGCTGCCGAAGTCAAGGTTAAAGACAGTCTCTATGTTCGCCCGGTGACTAAGCTAGTGGGACTCCCCAAAGTCCCTGAGGACTTAGATGATACTGTTCCGCAATAGCTTGACTTTAGCATGTGTGTATTTGTATCCATACAAATACAGGGGCGGCTGTTAAAAGTCCGCTTTCCAGAGGAATAATGTTTGTGAACACCGTTTAGACTACATTACCCATGATGCACCTCGGTATCTGTACTTCCCGTTGGGAACGTGTTTAGCGCAGTTCAGCACAGCTGAAAGGTGTTGGATGATCAGCGTTTTTCTCGTGCGTTCCTGTGTGAGTTACCCTTGGTGTGCGTGTTTATCATGTGAGTATTGTAAGATGAGATTGATGCTTATTTGACTTTATCTGTGAGTTGCTCTGTGTACATCACTAAGAAGCTAGTCCTGTTGCTAAGTTGCAGGTTTTGTTGGCCTACTTCAGGCAGCCTTGGTTGCAACTTATATGGCATTCCATATACGACTCACTATCAAGTATGGTGGTTGGAGGTGGATAGAACTATTTTCTGTGTTTATTATCTGACCTGTAGAGATACTGTTTGCTAATGCATATACGAACAATAAATTCATGTATGGTCTTAGGGTGGCATCTAGTGGCCATGAGGTTTATAGCAGATCATATAACTTCATGTTGGAAACCCACAGTGCTGTATAAGCGGTACACTGCTATTCATACTAATGGTTGTTCTTTCTGTTAACAGATTACCACACCCACATACTCCTGCACACTCACACTCCCTTTACCTGCATTCATAGATGGGAATGCAATTGCCTCACTTGTTGATGTCATCTGCTACCTCTTTAATAAAACTACTTGGACTACATCACTGTGGAGTGCCAATCCTTCTGACCGAGGACAACTCAGTTGAAGCGTGATCGGCAATCAGTGCAAACATTCAGTACACTGGGTCTGAACAGACGCCAAGACAAGAGTCGTGTGCCGGCAGTATCTCGAGACGGGTCTGGTCGGAACTAGGGATGCATCGATCCACATTTTTTCACTTCCGATTCCGATACCTGAATTTGGATATCTACCGATACCGATATTGTTTCGATACTAGAGGAATATTTGTTTTAATGTCATTATGATTATTATTATGGTTGATTTTATAAGGCTATAATAAACTCTTTTATACAAGAATAATATGTAATTGTGAGAAAGCCCTACAAGTAAGAGCCCAGCACCGTGTCCCAAAAGATAAGTTGAGATAAGTGAGGTCATAAAACAACTAATTGTCTATCCTAAAAAAAAGCAACTAATGTTTCAAATTGAAATTTATTCAATTTCAAGGCAGGGTTACTGGACACAAGTGCAATATGCACAATCAAAGAAACAAACCCTTTCATTTGAACTAAACAGCCCAGGTCCAAATAATCACACTAGGCAGTAACACATTTTTAAAGTGTCAAACATGAAATGAAAAGGGTAAACTTCCATAAAACTACTTCAAATAAAATAGAGGGCTGCTTTATCCAATCCCCACAAATTAATTTCACAGTCTTTTGTAGCATCAAAAATGTAATTTTCAAGTAAAAAATCACGTTATCAAAAAAAAAGTGCATCTGAAACAAATTCAGTAAGTCCTTGCTCATGTAGCAGTAAAAAAAACTAAAGTTTTCAAATGTTAAACATTTTGAATTAAAGAAAAGTGCATTGTAAACAAACATCAACAGTGTGCATCTGAAAAGTACAATTCAAGCATTGGAGATTTGGCATTGAAGGTGACTTAGATAAAGTTAACAGTCTGTCAGAGTCCGGAACTATTCTTGAAAAAAAAAAATGTAAATGCGTGAGGTACTTAAATGTTGTTCATCTAATCTCACTTAAACAATGACAGGTTCTGTCTGAGGAATATAAGGATTTCTGCTCTTTCTGCTGTCAGACGTTTCCTTTTTTCATCCTCAATATTGGATGCTGTACTAAACAGTCTTTCACTTTCAACACTCGTTGAAGGAGCTCTCAGGAACTTTACTGCAACAGCAGCAAGGAGAGGAAAGCGGGCATGGTTGTCTGCCCAGTACTGGAAAGGGCTGTCTAGCTCACCCATTGTTGGTTCTTTCAAGTACATTTGCATCTGGATAACTGCTGCCTGGGTACCTTGTGCAGGTTCATCATGTTCCTCCAGAATTTTGTCATACAGACTGCTAAAGCTACTCTTACTTGTGGTAGGAGAACTGGCATCCACGTGAGCAACCTTTTCTGCTGGCTCTGGTTCTGGCTTCCTTGTCCCTGCTTTGTCAGCTGATGCCTTGGCCAGCGCTCGCTCCATCTCTTGCTTGAGGAGATTCTTTGCCATCCTGGCAGCTTCTCCCCCAGTAAAGAATCTGGCACAAAAAACAAAATGGGTTGAGTACAACTTTATTTGTTGCTGCTGCAAGAGCCTGGCCTGCCTGCCAGACCCATAGAGATAATACACATTATATTTAAACTTAGACAATATTAATAATTAATGCATTAATAAAATATGCCTCACCTGTCCATGTAACGAGCATCCAGTAGAGTCGCAACAGCGTAGAGGGATTTACTTTCGATGCTGCTGAATCGCCTGTTGACAGCTTGGAGGAGTGTGCTCTTCATTGTTTTGATGCCGCTGTCGGTACTGTTCTCATCTGCTAGCAGACGTTTTAAAACAGCGACGGCTGGGATAACGTCGGCTGCAGTGGAGGTCGCTGAGCTGATTTTCCTCGTCAACTCCTCGAACGGTTCCAGCACGGTCACAGTTTTTTCCAGTAAACCCCACTCGTTGGCTGATAAAGTTGCGGGTAAGTTGTAGTCGGCAGCATAAGCGCAGAGAGCTCGCTTCTCAGTCAGAAGGCGCTTGACCATGTAGAAAGAGCTATTCCATCTTGTCTGGACGTCTTGAACGAGACGAGCTGGAGTGGATGTGGTTCCCGCTCCCTGCATTTCACGCTGCAGGTCTTCCAAGCGAGACTGCGCCAGTTGGGAATGCTTGAAATGTGCGACAATCTTTCGGCTGTTTGCTAATTCATCGCTAACACTGCGTTGCAGCATCAGCCCTTCATGCACTACAAGCTGCAGCGTGTGAGCAAAACGTCCCAGGCTAGGAACTGCCATGTCTTCCAAAGTGGCTTACTTGCGTTGTCCCGTAGAATGACGTGCACCTTTTCCAGAGGAATCCCCCAGTTATTTAGCATCTCGGCAATGGCGGCTGCGATTGTAGCTCGGTTGTGTGAACCCCGCACTTTTTGACCTGAAGCACCGCGCAACAGAAGTGATGTGTCCCGGAGTCAACCCAGTGCACTGTAAGACTTATCAGTGACATTGGGAGGACATCTGAAGTCCAAATATCTGTAGTGAAGCTCAGGGCTGGAACTCCTTTCAGCTTCCCGGCTAACTTGGCTGACACTCGGTTGTATAGTTCAGGTAGCGCTGTCTGATAAATATGTCCTGGAGGGTAAACTGTACCTTGGCTCCAAGTGTTCAATCAGGCTGCGAAATCCCTCATTTTCCACCACTGATAGCGGTTGGTCATCAAGTACAATGAAGTTGAGCAGCTTTTCTGTAATCCCCATGGCTTTAACGTTGTCTGCGGGGAGTTAACTTTGCTTCTTGAATGACTCCAGTAGTGATTCTTGGTGTCGCTTTTTTCCTTTCTGCCCCCTCGTTAAAAACTCCTCGTGCTCCCTCGGGTGGTGTATTTTCAAATGTTTGATTAAATTAGTAGTGTTGAAAGTTGCGACGGAGGTTCTTGCTTTGCGGAGCTTCCAGAATAAAATATTTCCACACAGCGGACATTTCGTGGATAAAAGTTTGGCGCTGCTCATGCTAGCCAGCTACCTGTAAACTGCGGTGAGTGGACTTCCTGAAAGGAGCCGCGTCATCTGGGCACAGAGGACGCCTCCCAGCCCGGGATGTCTTATTTAGACATTACACAAGAGATAATTCTGGATCGGAAATTTGTGCAGATTGTGTCGGAATTTTCCGATCCGTGATTTAAGTCCAAATCGGAGTCCGATTCCGATACTGGATCAGATCTGCCCAATCCCTAGTCGGAACCGCAGCTCTGCTACCAGCTCGGTGTCCAGAGAGGGTCCGGGTGGACCTCGGCATTCCTGATCTCACAGAGGACTTCCACCAGGCAGGTAGGCCCGGCTTAATGGTGTCTCATGCAGTTCTGAAACGAACCCCAGCTTATTCCAAACCAACATCTTCAGTTCCCATCAGAACTAATCGCTTCTTTGGATTTGCGGGTTCTGATTTACATGACACGTCATCCATTCACCGCCTCATCCATTTTTAGTCGCACTATACACTTAGTTCTTAAATGAGCCTAGTTTAATTGTTAGTAATAAAATTTCTTAACCTTTAAACTTGACTCGTTCTATTCTGTTGTCTCTGAGTGAATACATAACGGTTACATGATCTCTGCATTAAAAAGACCCGATCTTCTGGTTTAACCAACCCCGATCCATGAGGCGGATTTCATATTTCCTATGGAATCCCACGCCTTACGGCTCATTAATTAAAATGTAAGAACCTCATTTTTCCCTTACAGCTGAATCCCATTCTGTCCCGCTCTGAACTTGAGACAGTTCTCCACACCTTCATCTCCTCACGCTTAGACTACTGTAACTCTCTTTTCACGTGTCTGAGCAGAACCTCCCTGAACCATCTACAGGTGGTTCAGAACGCCTGTGCTCTGCTTCTGACCAAGTCCTCCAAACACACCCACATCACCCCGATTCATGAAAAAAACACTAAAACTGAGTTATTTTCTAGAAAAGACTTTTTTTTTGCCTGGGGTGTTTAGTACAAATCAGTCTTGATTATGTTTTGAAATATCTAAACTTGAGAATTTTTTGCATTTATAGTTTTTACATAGCAACAGATTTAAAATTTACTATACACTCGAGCCATTAGAGGACAAAAACGTCCCATTGACTTTAATGCACACCACAGGTTTTGATCCTGTATCATCTGCAACAAATAATCATGCTTTCTGTGATGTTATGGTTTCATTTTGGACAAAAGTAGAATTCAGTCATGTCTCCATATGTTGCCCAGGCGAGAAAGTTTACACATTTCTTTAGATCTTCTGCTGTTTTTATTGAAGTCAAAAGGCCAACCTGACCTCTGATAAGTAAATAAAACACAGTTTGACTCTCCTACTGAACTTCAAAGTGTAGAAAACAAAAACAATTAGTATGTTTATGCACCTGCCACATTCAAACTCCTTGTAGTCTGGTTATCTGGTCATTTCACTTCTGTGAAAGCCACGGAGCTAAATGAAGAGGCATCTCTCTGTGGAACAAGTTCTGGATCAGCTCCTGCAGCCTGATACTCCTGGAGAAAATGAGGAGAGTGAAACATCTTCAGTGGACTTTGAGGTGGAGTCAGACCATTCTGTTTCCTTGACTTCTTCTCCTGACCTGTCCAGTGAAAGAGAAGGGAGGACAATGGATCCTGCTCCAGGATGGATTTCTAAAAGTGGGCAAGTCTGGTTTCCTACTAACGCAGAAACTTCCCACTATGTTCCTGCTGCAAGATGTTTGAATCCTGGGCCAACACGTTACGCCATCACACGTATTTACGATGTGGTATCCTCCTTTGATTTATTCTTTACTCCAGAAATGACTGAAATCATTGTCAACATGACAAATCTAAATGGAAGACGTGTGGTGAAGAACTGGTGGGATATTGATGACATCGCAGTGTGAGCATACATTGGGCTCCTGATTTTGGCTGGTGTGTACCAGTCCAAAGGGGAATCCACCTGCAGCCTTTGGGATGACCACTGTGGACGTGCAATCTTCCTGGCCACCATGAGTCACACCAAATTCAAGATGATCAACTCCACCCTCCGGTTTGATGATGAGCTGAACAGGCCTTCCCGTCTCAGGCAGGACAAGCTGGCCCCTATCCGCTCGATTTGGGACATGTGGACCCATCGCCTCCAAATGCTTTTCAACACTGGGTTAGATGTGTGTGCTGATGAGCAGCTTGTCCCTTTCAGAGGCAGGTGCAAGTTTCACCAACATATGCCAAGTAAACCAGCAAAGTACGAATTGAAACTCTGGGTCACTGCTGATGTTGCCACTTCCTATGCCTGCAAGTGTCAGGTTAACACAGGGAAAGCTGCTGGTGAGGCTGCAGAGGTCGGCCAGGGAAAACGTGTCATTTTGGAGATGACCGAAGAGCTCCAAGGAGTCACTTCACATGCATGCATTCACACTTCTGCCCTTTCATAACAAACTGAACTACAAAGAGTTTGGATGTGCCTGAGCTCCAGCCAGGTGCATTAACATATTGTTTTTGTTTTCTACCCTTTGATGTTCAGTAGGAGAGTGAAACTGTGTTTTGTTTACTTGCTGAGCTTCTGACTTCAATAAAAACAGCAGAAGATCTATAGAAATGTGTAAACTTTCTCGCCTGGGCAACATATGAAGAAATGACAGAATTTGGTGGTGAACAGTAAAAATCATAAATTTGTTTACTTTTGTCCAAAATGAAACCATTACATCACAGAAAGCATGAATATTTGCTGCAGATAATGCAGGATCAAAAACTGTGGTTTGCATTGAAGTCAATGGGACGTTTTTGTCCATAACAGGCACAAGAGGGTGGTAAATTTTAAATCTGCTGCTACACAAAAACTAAAAAAGCATAAAATGTGATATTTTGCTAGACTCTTGACATATCCAAGGCTAATTCCATGCTGTCGTTCTTTTTAAAACACAGAAACGGTTTCGTTACCTGTTTTTTTAGAAAATAACTCTGTGCTGTTTTTTTTTTTATTTTTTATTTTTCTTCATAAATTACATCAATGACTTTTGAGTATTCAAAGTGGAATTTCAGGGGTTAAAATCTTCAAAATGATTGAATTTTTTTATGTTTGAGCAGGGCTGAAGTTGTTCAACAGATCTATGAAAAAAAAGTAAAACAAAAAAAAACATTAATGTATACATTTTTATAGCCACTTTTACAAGCGAACATTTTTGTATGAAAATTAAAGTGAAGCCTGAGGGTTAAGGCTCATATGATTTATAGAGGCTCAAAGTTCAGTTTCCAGTTGTAAATACATTTCATTCTACTGTCAGTTTAAAGAAATAATACAACTGTTATATGTGTGAAAACACAGTTACAGCTGTCTGTAATTCACATAATATGCTTCTGTGTTTTCTACAGATTTTCAACAGGTGGTTCTGGTTAAATAAGAAGCTTCAGAAGAACAGAGTGCTCGTGTCAACCACCAGCACCTAGATTTTCTCCAC